ATCTTGCTCGCAATTATTGTATGGTAGTTTTAAAGTGGTTACATTAAAATTCTTCCTTTATTATAGCCATACCACTATACAGAGAGTCGTTCTTTGCCACTTCATATTCTCTGGTGTCCTTTGAGACAGTTTATTCATTAGTTAATTTACTGACTATTAAAAGTGGTCTTTATGGTCCATTCAAGATTCAATTTGTATTACCAAGTTTTCAACCGCTTGAAAATCGTTAAAGCCAACCACAAATTTTAAAAGTTATAAAGCAATTTTAATTTTTAAACAATTTTTTTATAAAAATGAAAAAAAAAATAAAGTGACTCGCACTCTTGCTTGTTAAAAGTAATTTTCTTTTATTTTTGGTAAAAATTATTTTTCCATTTGGAATTATAAAAGAATTACCAAAAAATACTAACAACTATGGATATCGCAATTTCGTATCTATCAGGTCATGTCAAGTGGTTTGAGAGTACTTTCCTCGTTCAGTCGCGAAAGAAAGCAATAAAGGACGTGGGTATTATCTTTGCTCGATGGTCAAAGAAAAGAAAAAAAAAAAAAAAAAAAGTGGTGGGAGGTTGGAAAAAAAGACGATCGTTTCTCGATTCGACGTAGTGGACAAGACGTCTCTCGCATTTTCGATAGACATGCGACGTTATTTCAGTTCTTTTTATATTGCAAAACCCTTTCTTTCAGTAAAAGAGAAAAATTCTTCAGTTGATTTTTTTTTCAACGATAAATGCGACGCCACACAAATGCTGCGTAAGCCATTCAAAAGGGAATCAAAGAACGCGAAAAAAAGGATCATTTTTCAAACGCTTTCCATATTACTTTTTTTTGTATCTCCAATAATTTAATAATAATCTATGAAGCATAGGATTTTTGTTTTCTAAACTTTTTTCCACATTAAAAATTTCTTCTTTTTTAATTTCTTATTTCAGAATTAATGAAAACGCCATTCGAAATAAAAAAAAATTACATAACTGGATCACTAATCTAGATCATTGATTTAGATCACTAAACTATTTTAATTAACTACATTACTAATCTAGATTACTGCTAATCTAGATCACTACTACTCTAGATCACTACTAATCTGGATCCCTAATAATCTAGATCATTACTAATATATATCACTACTAATCTAGATCAGTAGTAATCTCGATCCCTACTAATCTAGATCATTAGTAATCTCGATCCCTACTAATCTGGATTCCTACTAATCTAGATTACTTTTAATCTGGATCCCTAATAATCTCGATCAATATTAATCTGGATTCCTACTAATGTAGATCATTACTAATCTGGATCCCTACTAATCTGGATCCCTACTAATCTGGATTCCTACTAATCTAGATCACTTTTAATCTGGATAACTACTAATCTAGATCATTACTAATTTGGATCTCTACTAATCTAGATCATTACTAATCTGGATCCCTACTAGTCTAGATCATTACTAATCTGAATTCCTAGTAATTTCGATCATTACTAGTCTGCTTACTACTAATCTGGATTCCTACTAATCTAGATTACTTTTAATCTGGATCCCTAATAATCTCGATCAATATTAATCTGGATTCCTACTAATGTAGATCATTACTAATCTGGATCCCTACTAATCTGGATCCCTACTAATCTGGATTCCTACTAATGTAGATCATTACTAATCTGGATTCCTACTAATCTAGATCACTTTTAATCTGGATAACTACTAATCTAGATCATTACTAATTTGGATCTCTACTAATCTAGATCATTACTAATCTGGATCCCTACTAGTCTAGATCATTACTAATCTGAATTCCTAGTAATTTCGATCATTACTAGTCTGCTTACTACTAATCTGGATCACTACTAATCTGGATCACTACTAATCTGAATTCCTAGTAATCTAGATCCCTAGTAATCTCGATCATTTCTAATCTAGATGCCCACTAATCTAGATCATTACTAATCTGAGTTCCTCGTAATTTCGATCATTACTAATCTGCTTACTACTAATCTGGATCACTACTAATCTGAATCCCTAGTAATCTAGATCATTTTTAATCTAGATCATTACTAATCTGGATCCCTACTAATATGGATTCGTACTAATCTAGATCACTAGTAATCTCGGTCATTTCTAATCAGGATCATTACAAATCTGGATTCCTAATAATCTAGATCACTACTAATCTGGATTCCTAGTAATTTCGATCATTACTAATCTGGATCACTACTAATCTGGATCTCTGTTAAACTAGATCACTATAAGTCTGGATCACTAATAATCTAAATCATTACTAATGTAAATCACTGTTAATCTAGATCACTAATCTAATCTGTTTAAAGCTGTACAATTCCAGTGACGAGAAATATTTTTTAAATTTTGTTTATTTAATCTAGATTAGATACAAATAAAGATTTGCAAATAGAAGTTAGTAGTAACGGATAATCTTGGTCTGGCACGAGCTTGCGCGATCGTTAACCCGCTTTTTCTGCGAGTTAATTTTATGCAACGTTAAAGTGCCGTATTCCGACATAGTATATATATATATATATATATATACCTGTATACAGAATAGTTATCCTGCATACGCTTTTATGCGAGGATTCCTTTCATTAAAATTTTAAACGAACTGCCGTTCTACATTACTCAGCTGTAAAGTTAATCCCGTACAACGTCGTCGGCTACTACTTCAATCGGGATATATCTAAGAGATCTTGTTACATACGTACGAAAAAACAACGAGCAAAAATACAAGGTGTATTTTCTAATTAAATGTTTATATTGTTTTCATCTATTTTTCTGTACAAAAAAAAACTAAATGAAAACAATATAAACATTTAATTGTAAAACACATCTTGTATTTGTGTATTGCTAATTGTTTTATTTTTATATAGGGAAGAGAAGGCAACATTGGATCTTTATTTTACAGTGGATCATTTGAGTATTCTGAAAAATAAATTAAAGAAAATTTTACCAATTGTTTAAAAAATATTCAAAAAAAAAAATATCATTGATTCAAGAATACCATTTACTTGTCCGTATTTGATCAATTAATTTTCTTAATTCAAGAAAATTTATTTCAAACTAGTAAAATTTCTTTGAATCAAGAAAATATTGAATCAAATACGGACAAGTAAATGGGTTTTCTTGATTCAATACTATTTTTTCCAGTTTAGAAATAAGTATAGGTATACGTATATTTAGAGTTTGGTAGAATTTTGTTTTTTTTTAATCATTTCGAAGAAAACTAAAGTGGCCCACTGTTGACCACTCTCACCTATATATTTAATTGCTTCTATACGGCTTATACCTTAAAAATCAATTACCAAAAATACAAAGGCGACGTAGAAATTGAATAATTAAAGGATTTCAAAAGTACTCCTGATGTGAAAACGCGCGTGTATTGAATGAACTTGTCAAGATTGTCGTGTTTTGGTCCCTCATTAAAATAGATCCTCCATACCAGCATCCTTCTTATCTCTCTCTCTCCCTCTCTCTGTCTTATCAAATATGATCACTTCGTTAGCTGTCTCTTTGTCTGGCGTCAGGTTTGCATATACATATAGCAGTACACATAATGATTTAACGCTGGTGGCAAGCGACTCGTATGAGAGGGTAAATTTTCTAGGGGATAAGTTGACTACAACTACCGCGTTGAGGGCTGCCACGACAACGAGGGTGAAGGGGGTTTATGGTTTTAGAGGGAACGATAGTTGAAGAGGCCGCGAAGTAAGGGAGAGAGGAGAAAGAGGTGGAACTTGAGGGTGAAAAGCGATCAACTATCTCTCTCTCTCTCTCTCTCTCTCTCTCTCTATGTGTACTCAAACAGCCGCACCAACACTACAATATCTATTTAGCATTATTCCCAGTGTACATGTGTGTGGGTTCTGAAAGCTCAAGTGAATCAGAGAACAGAACATTGCAACGGAATGCTTATTTCGAGGGCAACAACAGCGTGAAATGTTAAAGGGGTTTTCGTAAGAGTCTACTTATACAATCTGGCACGAACGTCCCTTCGTCATTAAATTTTGAAATTGGTTACATAGTAAATATGTTCACAAATAAATAGGGGAATGTAGTCATGAGTGGACTGTCCTCATGAGTGGACCACTTCTTCGTTTTTTATGTTCCAGTATAGTTGTACTGTTTTCTATATAGCCAGTGTACAGTTGAACTATACCAAACTAGTTTCTATCTAGTTTCTATCTAGTTTCTATCTAGTTTCTATCTAGTTTCTATCTAGTTTCTATCTAGTATCTATTTAGTATCTATATAGTGTCTATCTTGTTTCTATTTAGTATCTATCTAGTATCTATCTAGTTTCTATCTGGTTTCTATCTAGTTTCTATCTAGTTTCTATCTAGTTTCTATCTAGTATCTATTTAGTATCTATATAGTTTCTATATAGTTTCTATCTAGTATCTATCTAGTATCTATCTAGTTTCTATCTAGTTTCTATCTAGTTTCTATCTAGTTTCTATCTAGTTTCTATCTAGTTTCTATCTAGTTTCTATCTAGTTTCTATCTAGTTTCTATCTAGTTTCTATCTAGTTTCTATCTAGTTTCTATCTAGTATCTATTTAGTATCTATATAGTTTCTATCTAGTTTCTATCTAGTTTCTATCTAGTTTCTATCTAGTTTCTATCTAGTTTCTATCTAGTTTCTATCTAGTTTCTATCTAGTATCTATTTAGTATCTATATAGTTTCTATCTAGTTTCTATCTAGTTTCTATCTAGTTTCTATCTAGTTTCTATCTAGTTTCTATCTAGTTTCTATCTAGTTTCTATCTAGTTTCTATCTAGTTTCTATCTAGTTTCTATCTAATTCAGAATTGGTGGAGTTTTGACTAAAGATTAAAAACAGTTACTAATTAATTTAATTAACGAATTGTCACAGTTGAATTAGTAAAAAGTATTCTAATTGAAATTTAAAGAGTGAAAAATAGTTTTTTTGTATAAATATTTAAATGTATAAAATTTAATTCAACACAAAGGGAATTATTTATTTTTCAGGTACAGCACGCAAGCAAAAATGGTCGATACAGGAACTGGAACGTTGTATATTATTGGATCTTTTAAACGAATGACAACTGATCCTGATTTTAAGGTAATTATCACTAACAAATAGTAAAAGTAAATCTTACCTTTCTAGTTCGATAAAAACGGCCAATAATCTTCGTTCAACCTAAAACATAAAAATAGAAGAAAAAAAATTAATGAAAAATATAATTTAAAAGTAATAAATATAAAAAGTTTAAAATAGAATATCAATTTTCAAATTGATTTAAATGAAATTATTTTAAAGATTTAGTATTATTAAATTAGAGAAAAATAGAGTGTATGAAACAAAACATTTGTTTAGAGATAAGTTTTCATGAAAAATAAATGAGTTTCATAAAATTCAAGTATCGAGCAATAGGCAAGTATAAGAGAAGTATGTAGTAAAGTTGAAGGTAGATGAGTGCATGTACGCGAGCCCAGCTGGAAATCCTCTGTTCGAAAATCCTACATAAAAGCCACTTCCTACGTTTGTATGTACATCGAAGCTGTGTACTCTCTCTCTCTCTACTCCCACACACGATATCAGAATTCGCTCCGGTTTCACTCACACATACTCAATCGTCCTCCACTTGTGCGCAGGAATGTCACATACATATATATATATATATATATATATATATATATATATATATATCCTGGAGGCGCGACGTTTCGCGTTTTAGTGTCCTCGTAAAATCCTGTATCACCCATACAGTTTCCTTGTCGACATACAATGGCATCCACTTTAGCATTTGAAAACGTCCCTATATTCTCAGAATTTGCACATGTACACGTAGACAAATTTATATATATATATATATATATATATAAATAGAGAGAAATTTTCAACAGTTCAAATACAACTAAAATAACATTTCGACACCATCACCTTTCAACGGTTTCATTTTGCTCAATTTTCTAGAGTCACAGTTTTATGTTTTAATTTAGGTTATACTATTTTTCTGCTTTCGTGACAAATAGTCAATATTAAAATAATAAAAATATTATTAGGTCTCTCAATACTAATTCAAAAATTCACTTTGTCTTACTTTAAGTGACTGTTACGAAAGTTTTTCCTATTCTAGAGAAACATATTGTTGTTTCAGATAAGATTTTTTTTTTGTGAGAGAATGACTATTATTTTGTTTGACGTAAAGTTGCTTTTACTACTGATTTATAAATTGTATAAAAATTGCTGTAGCTATGTATATATATTTATAAATTGTATAAAAATTGCTGTAGCTATGTCTGACTAAAATGGACTTATACTACTAATACTGAGTTTGTAAGATTTGTGGGATTTTTTCTGACTAGTTTACTTGTACTACTGATTTACATAAATTACAAAAATCAATTACTGAATATGGACAATTTGAGGAAATTTTCTAGGAATAATTATTTCTATTTTAAATCTTTACCATAATTTTAATTTCTATTTTTTTAAAAGAAAAAACATAAGTAAACAAACAAGTTACTTATTTTTGCACGGCAGAATTATTATAGTATAAATTATTATATATTCGGATAAACATTAACTTTATCCGTAACTTGGTAAAATTTCTAATTCTTATATAATGTGGCTTTTGAAAATAGCTGATAAGATATATTATTCCCTAGCTTTGATGAAAAGAGGGGACTTGGATGATTGACGAATTTCCCATTTGATGTGTATAGTCGCAAGACCATTAGGAAATGAAAATAAGGCAAAGCTTCATTAACAAGTAACAAGATCAATGGTATTTCTTGGATATATGATAGTCTAGAGGCAAGGTTCTCAATGTTTTGGAAAGGCTTTTGCGCATATTCGAGAAACTTGAGAGAGGTAGTGGATTGTCTTTGCATAATCGAGTCTCGCCTAAGCCATTAAACGTGCCAAACTTTGTCCCTGTATACAACTTACAAGAAATACTAGACTCAAACATAAGCTGCTTATACGACGCGAGCAACAATAATATCGTTTCTTCAATGTTTAACAAGTACACTAACAAAAAAAAGGAAAAAGTTAAATAAGCCATAAATTTTTATAAATCCTTCTCATTAAAACGAAGATACAATTACAAGATCCGAATAAATCCACGATTTATATCTCGGTATATGAATTCAAATTTCCGGGATAAAGAAAATGTATCTTTTTTTTTCATTCAAATTTTACCTACACTGAAAAAAAATTTATTTGATTTAAATAATCTTGTGCTTGACTATTATCAAACAAATATTTACTTAAACCAAATAATTTTTATTTAAATTAAATAAATTTTTTTTTCGTTAACATTAAAGTGACTATCAATGTGTCTTAAAATAAGATGCCTATACTCTTTTTCAGTGATACTAATGATAGAATGAATGTACTATTAAAAATTTGTTCAATTTATTCAACCCACGGTTATATATTGACATGTAACGAATGGTTAATAGGTATCCACTATAAAGTGGTGTATATTAATCGGCTTCAATGTTTAAGGACTTTTCGAATGTGTCACAGCTGCCCACGTTCACCACTATATGGTGAATATTTATTGCTATTTCATACCATTAACACGTGTTTATGAGCGTTAAATGTTTAACTAGCCTACAATTCCCTACTGGTTTTGAGTAATGTGTCCAGTTAAGCTCTAATTAGACTGGACGTTCGAGACTAATCTTGTGTGTATATATATATGTACATGTGAATTGGAAAAAAATTACTCAACTTTTATTAAATATTCTCAATAAGAATATTCATTGTGTGTCATTATTTATTTTCTTTCGTAACTAAACGTTTAAATGTTTATTTCATGCCAAAATCGAAAAGATTTGTTTCAACTAAATAAAGAAATGAGCACTCCACGTTTTGTTTCTCGTGTATAATTTTTTTTAATTTAATAGAAACTACATAGAAACTAAACACAAACTAGGTACAAACTGAAATTTTATTAAAAAAAAACATGAAATATTTTCAAATTTTCTCTCTTATATAATTATAGTTGGACTAATTTTAAAAAAAGATTCTTTTTGAGAAATTAAATAAAAAATTACTTTCATCGGCAAATACACACACATTAAATTCATTTAATTTAAAAATATAAATTATATTCATCCCCTTCTCACTGTTCGATAATTGTAATTATTGCGTTAAAAATTAATAACTTCAAATTATCTATACAAAATGTAATTAACAATCTCACACACAGTTTGCCTGGTTATTGATAATAGAAACTTTGTTACTACAAACTCAGTTAATACAATCAAAAGCTATCCACATAGTATATACACCTATATACTTTCGATATATTAAAATCGTCTGCCTAAGAAAAATTAAATTATTTTCGGAACTTTTTTGTAATTTTGGATTTATGGGTTGGATGACTTTTAGGTGGTAATAGGTGTCTTCCTCTACTCTTTTTTGGCTGTCAATTTTTTTCTACAATTATAGGTGCATTTTGTGCAAGAAAATGCATTAAAATCGTCTGCCTAAGAAAAATTAAATTATTTTCGGAACTTTTTTGTAATTTTGGATTTATGGGTTGGATGACTTTTAGGTGGTAATAGGTGTCTTTCTCTACTCTTTTTTGGCTGTCAATTTTTTTCTACAATTATAGGTGCATTTTGTGCAAGAAAATGCAATAAAATAGTCCGCCTAAGAAAAATTAAATTATTTTCGGAACTTTTTTGTAATTTTGGATTTATGGGTTGGATGACTTTTAGGTGGTAATAGGTGTCTTTCTCTACTCTTTTTTGGCTGTCAATTTTTTTCTACAATTATAGGTGCATTTTGTGCAAGAAAATGCAATAAAATAGTCC